GGGCCTAAAGATATAAGAGATATTAAAAAAGGGAAGGAGGGATCTAAAATTTAGCTTTCTAAGAAGCAAGTAGGTTAAAGACTTATAGTATAGGAGTTCCGAATAAAAGTAACCCGGAAATAGTAGTTAGGTACTAGCTTTTAGTATTATTAGTAAAGGGTTCAAAGAAGGAGGAGTTTAGAGAAGAAGGAATTAAAAAAAAAAGGGTTTAGAGAAAGAGGGATTAAAGGAGAAGGGGTTTAAAGAAAAAGGAATTTAAAAGAGGAGGGGTTTAGAGAAAGAGGGATTTAGAGAAAGAGAGAGAGGTTATAGGTAATTAGATACTAGCTTTTAGTATTAATAGTAAAGTCGAAAAAATATAGAAGAAGAATAAAGGTTTTAAAATAAAGATAAAATAAAGTTATACTTTTATAAAAAAAAAAAGAAAGATACTAGTATAAGGTAATTATATTATTAAATTCTATATTTACTTTTACTATTTATTAAGGATATATATTTCTCAGAAGAAAGTATTACTTAGTATCTCTAGGAAATAATAATTTAATAATAATACTATTAAAAAAACTAAACCTAATATATTTAAGTATACTAAAATAAGGCAATTATTTTTATATTAAAAATTAAATTATAATATTACTAGATATAAAGCTATTTTAGTTTATAGACTAGGCTATATATAGAGATCCGAGGATATTAAAGCTTACTCGAATTACTTATAGAATAGCTATATAAATAACTAGTAATATAATGAGATAGTATTATACCTTACCTAATTAGGTTAATAATAAAGCCCTTTATTATAGTAGATATATAATATCTGTTTTTTAAGGTATTATATAGCTAGAGGAAAAAGGCATATAACTATATAATCTCTAGGTTCTTAAAATTAATTAGAAATTAGTTAATTAGAAATAAGTAAATATTACTTTTTATATTCCTAATTTAACTAGCTACTAGAGTAATAAGACTCTTAATATAACTAATTTAATAATACTAGAAAATCCAGATAGTCTCTTATTACTTATATGCTTTTTTCTTACCCTTAGTAAACTATAGAGAGCTCTTATTAATATTAGGCCTAGCTACCTCAAGAGATCTAAAGCCTTTATCCTAAGCTTCCTGAACTACTAGTACTACTAACCCCGAGCTTTTGCCCTAAATCTCTTATATAGCTACTTAAAAGGCTCCCTATATAATAGATATTAAGCTTTTACTCTTATTTTACTAAATAACTAGCTTACTAAGCCCTTTCTCATTTCGTGCCATATAATCGAGACTCTATTAAAGAGCCTTTATTATAAGCCTTATTTTCTCTTGTAAGTCTATAATCTCTAAATTCTTTTTTATAAGACTATTAAGATACTTTAAACTTATAGATAATTATCTTCCCTTAATTACCTTACCTTGAGAATTTCCTAAAAGAAAAGAAAGTATTTTTATATTTAGCTTCTTAAGATTCTTTATATGAATTTTAGTAAGACTTTATTTTTTAATTTCAAATTCCTTTCTTATAGCTTTTAAAAGCTATACTCTCTTATTAAGCCTATTTATATAGGTATTACTTTCTTTAATTACTATATTTCTCTCTTTTTTAAAGCTCTATTTTCGTATTTTAAATTACTTCTTTTCTTTCTCAAGGTCTGCTAGCCCCTTTTTTAATATATACTAATACCTATTAATATAACCTTTTATTATAGATTTTTTTAGCTACTTATATTATTTATTAAATACCTTATTAAAGGACTCCTCTAAATTACTAGCTAAAATAGGCTTAGTAGCTAGAGTAGGCTTACGGGCTAGAGTTTTAGTAGCTAGGGTAGGCTTACTAGCTAGAGTTTATAGAGACTTAGATCTCTTATAATTCTCTTAATAGATAATACTAAGTTATTTACTAGTACTTTAATACTAATATTATTTCTTTTTAGATATATAATTATTTCTAATTATATTACTATTAGAGTTATTAGTATTAAGGGTTTTTAATAAGTTATTAGTATTAGAAGTTATTATTAAATTAACTATTAGCCCTTTATATAATTAATAATCCTATAAAGGCTACTTTTTTTTAATAGGGATAAGGAAGCAGAGTTTGGGCTCTTAATAGTTTATACTAGGATATGTTTTCTTTATATATTTAAGAAACTATTTAAAAGTGCGATTTTCTCTAAATAAAACCAGGAAGTCCGGAACTTTAGAGTAGGTAATCTTACTAGTAAAGTAGCCTATAGTCAGGCTTTAATTCTCAAGATTAAGTTTATAGTATTTAGTCCTTCTAATACCTTTCCAGATATTAGACTCTAGGAAATAATTAAGTACCTAGCTACTAAGCCTTACAAATATCTTATAAGAATCAAGAAAAAATAGGAGTTTTAAAGAAATAGTTTACTTAAACGGCTTCCCAGAATAGCTAATATAGTAATAGATAATTATTAATAAGCCTATTAGTAAAGGCTTATTAGTAGGATTATAGCCATATTTACTAGTTAGTCTTTCTTTATTATACTTTCTTTTATTATTTTCCTTTACTTTTAACTCTTACTAACTATGAGCCTTAGTTAAAGTACTTCCCTAAAGCCTCGATTTCTTTTTCTTCTTCCTAGTAAAGGCGAGGTTATCTTCCTATATATTACAAAGAGTATCCCTAGTAATAGTTCTTTAGAGACTTTCTTTTTTCTTTCTTACTTGCTCCTCTTTTCTCTCTTTCTCTCTCTTCTTCTTATTCTTTTAGAACTTGGCCTAATAGATATACTAATTTCTAATACTTATTTCTTTAGTACTATTATTATTATTATTTCTCTTATTATTCTTGGAAAAGTAAGAGGCAAGAGGCTTTGGCTTTGGCTTACGGGCCTTCTATAAATACTTCTTCTCTAAGGTGAATTCGGTCGGGCTTAAGAAAGGAAAGATAATATTATAGTAACTATAAAAAGGGCTAATGCCCTTTTGCTTTTAGTACTTTTCGTAGTAGGCCATAATATTATAATATATAAAGTCTTAGATAAGGCAGTTTTAAAGAGATTAGATTAAGAATAGGAATAAAAGAAAGTAAAGATAATAATCTAGGAAATAAGAATATAGTAGGAAAACCCCTCTATATTAAAGAATTAGTAGAACTATCTATCTCTATTTTGAGTATAAATCTATACTAAGTTATCCTATAATATATCTTTACTTATTACTACCGGTTTCGGATATACCTCTTACTAACTAGTAACTCTATATATATCCTTATTTATTACTACCGGTTTTGGATATATCTCTTACTAGCCGGCCACTTTAAGTATATCCTTATTTGGTACTACTAGTTTCGGGCATGCCTCTTATAAACTAGCGACTTCGTATATCTTAACTTATTTTTGCCGGTTTCGGATACGCCTTCTATTAACTAGCTATTCCAAGTATATCCTCTATAACTAATTCTCTAATCCAATATAATTCCGTTCTTTTATATATATCTTATATATATAAAGCTAGTTATATATTAGTAAGAGTAAAGAAAAAGAGCAGAGAAATATTATAAGTAGTAATATGGGGCTAGTATAACCTTATAAGAATAATTCAGAAGTATTATAGTTAATTATATTATAAATTATCTATACTTAGAAATATGATTTAATTATATATACGAGTCTTATAATAGATAGTAATAAAGGGACTTAAGTTAGGTGTGGTTATGCCTGCAGAATGCGGTATTTTGGTTACGGGCGATTTTTGGTGGGGTGCACACGTGTTACAAATCAGATATTGAAGGTCGAAAACCAGATTCGAAAATCGCTTGGTCTTCTGATCCTTATCGCTTTCCGTACACATACGAAACTCTGGATCGAAGCCAAGCTTCATTTCTACTTCTCCAACTTAAGGATAACGCTTGGGTGCAATCCTTCACAGCGTACAGGGGCCGGTCATTCTTGAAATGGTGGAGCAGCCGATTGCTTCATTGGCGTTGGGGCTCCTATATTGGAGAAGGTCGAACTATCAAGCAGCGGCGATGATGACAATTCAGCCCTGCGTGCCTACTTGCCCCTTGGCATCTGCTGGGACGAACGTTGGAATGGAATCTTGTCCTTCTGTCAGCCAGTCCCGCCACGGGCGTTCAAAGCGAGGAGGATGCGGGGATCAGATGCACGGGCGAAACACAACGGCTGAAATCTTGTGAATCAAGACCGCTCCTTTGCATCCAACAAGCCAATGATGAGGCTCCATTCAGACGTCCGTCCTCGACAGGTGCCACGGGACAAGCATCATAAGACTCTACGTTGTAAAACAGTTCCAGCGCGTACGTATTGCGGGCCGAGATTCTCATCTCAGCTCATTCTCAATCTTGAGGCAGAGAGGAGTGGAGAGGAGAGAGGGCGAGGGCGAGGCGACTAAACTTGGGTTCACGTGACCTCTTAGCGTTAACACTACCAAACCGCTGCCACGCTAAGACCCCTGTCGCCTCGGGCAAATACAGAAACCCCTCGGAGGACCCTTTAACTTGCAGTGCCCCCAACAAACCAAGTTTGCTCGACCAATACGAACAGCAATCAACATTCCCTGATATGATATGCGAGAGAACCCAACTCCGCTATCGAGCCTCGATCCGTCGCTCCGTACGCCGCGGGCGAGGTATAACTCCAGGTTCATCTCGACACTGGTAAAGATCCTTGAATCAAATCCAGAGGCAGACCTGTCTCCGCATATTAAATACAGTACAGAGCGGTTAAATGAGCTCAGAGGTATGTTAATGTTATTGGAGTAATGTGTGAATTTGGAAACTGATCTGCCCGCGTCTAGGGGCTTCGACGACTATCCTACCAGTTCCAGATGTTGCGCAAGAGCTAAAGGTTATTCAGCCATCTATTCCTGAACCGTGTGGTGCCTTTAGCATCGTTTCACCTTTGGTATAGCAGGTTCAGGCACTTATTGGCCTTAATTCATTGGATATATCGAATGGGTTTCCAGCTTCTGCTTTCTGGCGGCTGCTGAAGGATGGGAAAGTGCTTTACCAAGTTCTTTTAAAGTGGATAATAAAGATTATCCCCTGTATAGTAGTCAAATTTGCTCCAGGCCTGGATATTAGCGAGTATTAGACTATATGTTATATTTGGGCTTACCGAGAAGATATACTAATGCCGAAGCCGCTAGGGGCAATTTCAATTAGAAGTTGCAACTATATATTTATGTTATATATTGAGGGAGATCCCTTTACGGACCTCTGGCCGAATCTTTTATCTGAACTAAAGAGTTCTATACGGTCCAGTATATTAAATAAATAGAGTAAAATAGAATAACAGCCGTTATTCTATTTTATTCAAGTATAAATCTCGTTATTTATATTTTATTTATATATTATTTAAGTTATTTATGAATATTTATAAATAACTTGAATAACGTACGTGATCTGTACACGTGATAAGCTAGCCTAATTAGGTAAGGCCTCGGGTGGTCCCGTACCTGGCGCCACCTTACTAGCTAATCAGGTGGTAGTAGCGCTTGGTAAGCGAATCGAACCTCAATAATACTTCTAGAACCTCCATGAATTACAATTATATTAAATTACTAATATAGGAGCTAAAAGTTAGAAATCAAAGAACTAGAATCTTCGGACTAAAGCAAACCTTTATAATTAGAAGAATTATAAAGCAGACTTTAGAATATTAGAACTTTATATAAGAATACATCGTTTTCCTTGATTTTACTTCTTTCTTATACTTTAATTACTTATAAAAAATCAATTATTACTCTTATTATATTATTTTATATTATATATATCCTTATATATATTTAATATACTCGAAAATGTCTCAAGACTCTTTAATCAAGCTTAATATAAGTCAAAATTACTACGATTTCGAATTAAGACTATTTAATAAGTAAGCTTCTCTTTTTAAGAAAGGCTACTTAAAAAAGACGCTAAATCCTATATAAGAGAATATCGGGGACCTCTGTATATGTATTATTAAATGTATAATTAGAGGGTATTTGTAAGTTAATATATTAATTTTTAATAAATTTTTTACTAACTAATCTAATAGTAAAACATAGCTTAATTAATAAATATATACTCCTATAAGTAATTATTACTCTTATTTTCGGCATTTCCATAGATTTATAGACCTTAAGAATCTTAAGGATAGTAATAATAATAGTAAGTTATTTTATTATTAATTAAAAAGAAATATTTACTAATATATTTAATAGATAAAAGTGAAGCTTTTAGTTAAGTCTTACAAATAACTATAACTAGCCTTTTTAATAAGTAATCGGGATAATAAGAAGAAAGCTTTATTATTAATTACTTTAAGAGATTATTATTAAATTTTATTATTAATAATAATATTTCTTTTTGGGCTATTACTATTTTAAGCTTTTATTACTTTATTCTTTATTTATTTATATACTAATATTTAATAGTTAAGTACCTGCTATATACTCGAAGGCTCTTATAGATGAGCTTAAATTATACTATATTAAAAAGAGTTTAAATATTAAAGAAGAGTTAAAAGAGAATATTAATTCTCAAGGAACCTTCTCTATTACTTTAGATACTTGAACAGGTATAAATTAAAAGGCCTTTTTTGGAATTACTATATAAGTTTATATATTCTAATAATTATTAAGTAAAATATATACTAATATATTATAGATATTTTATAAATAAGGATTTTAAATTAAAATATTATTTATTAGTTATAAAAGATTTAAATAATATATACTCCGGTATTTATATACTTTCTGTTTTATTAGGAGCTTTAAAATAATATAATATTAAATATAATATTACTAGGTAAATTATATAATTACTAATATATTTTATTTAGTATTACTCGAGATAATACTAGCTCAAATAATATCTTATTAAAGGCTTTTATAAAGTATTATAATAAGGAAGGCATTAAATTTCAAAGAGATATTTCTTATATAGCTTATATATTAAACTTGGTAATTTAAGATATTTTAAAAGCTTTTATTAAGAATAATTATAATACCTCTTATTCTACGGATTTATATGAGTAAGAAATAGAAGAACTTGAAGATAGAGAAGAAGAAAGAGAAGTAGAATAAGTAATAAGTAAGTTCCCTTTATAATTTATAATAGTTTTATTAATAAATTATAGATTTATTAATTTAGAGAAAGGTTCGAAAGACTATTATAGGTCTTAAATATAATTAAGAAAACCGACGGCTATTAGAAGCTCAAATTAAAGCTTTTAATATAGAAAATGCTCGATTTCTTTAACTTAATAAGTAATTAATTAATTATTTAATTAATTATTAATTAATACTAATTATTTATAGATTAAAAAACACGGTAGTCTTTGATTTATTATATATTAAAGAACTTTTTATATATATATAAAGCTATTAAAGTAGTTATTAATAGCTCTAATTCAAAGGCTTTTAAAAATAAAAGTCTAGTTTTAACTAATATTGAAATTATTTATTTAAATAATATTTTAAATATAATTTTAATATTTGTTAAAGCAATAACTAAATTACAAGCCGAAAACTATCCTACTATATATTATATTATACCTGAAGTATATAAAATATATAATAAATTGGAAAATTTCAAAAAGGAATTTAAAGTAAGTTTTTTTTTAAACTCTTTTTATATTATTAATATTTTTATACTAATATTTTAATAGGATAAAGTATTTACAGATGCTATAGATAAGGGTATAGCTAAGCTTCGAAAATATTATCCTAAAACAGGCGTTTTAGATAATAAAAATAAAGCTTTATATTTGGCTCTTATTCTTAATTCTCGAATTAAATAAGAAGGATTAACTAGTATTGGCTTATCTAGTAGTATATCTTCGGATATATATAATAGATTAAAGACTGATTATAATATATAAGTACTTTCTTTTATTAGCTTTTAGTATTTTAATAACTAATTTTTGAATTTAGATATAAATATAATTATAATATATCTCAAGCTAGATCCGATACTTCGGATATTAGTATGGCCGATTCCGATTCCGATTCCGATTCCGGTAGTTCGGATATATATATTACTAATTTGTTTTCTAAAATAGAGAATGAATTAATAACTTATTTAGAAGAAAAAAGAGAAGATAAAAAAGTAAATAAAACTTTACTTATATTCTATTAAATATCTATCCGATATTCTCTTAATATTTTTTAATATATTAGTACTAATATATATATAGACTAAGTCCTTAGACTATTAGAAGTCTAATACTACTAGATTCCCTGTATTAGCTTTAATAGCTAGGAAATATTTAGGAATTCCGGCTTCCTTAGTAGCTAGTAAGAGGTTTTTTTCTCAGGGTGCTCTTATTATGTCTAAACTATATAATAGACTTAATAAGAGTATTTTTGAGATAATATTTTACTTAAAAAGCTAGAGGTTATTTCAAGATAAGTTAGAAAAGGCTAAAAAAGAAGAGAAAAAGAGAGAGAAAAAGAAGAAAAACCAAGATTCTAGGGAGGATAATTAGTTTATTATTATAGAAAATTGATATTTAAGTAGCCTTATATAAGCTCTAGCTTAGCTTATATAAGGCTGCTTAATAGATACCTTAGTTTAATTTTTTTAAATTTAAATATATATTGATTTATAATAATCCCGTAACTTCTATATAATTTCCACGTAATTATTTATAGTTATTTATATTATTTATAAATAATTATTCTATTTTACTTAAGTTTTTTAAGCTACTTGTTATTTATATTTTATTTAAGTTATTTATAAATATTTATAAATAACTTGAATAACTTGAATAATCCTTTAATATACTAATACGGTCTTAATTAGGGGGAATCCTGTAATATTTATAGAAAGTGCTATTATAATCCAAATACCTTAGTAGCGGTAATCCGCCCTTATATAGAGATCTATAATAATATATTCGGACTAGTATAAAGAGTATTTTAACTAAAATGGAATTTAAAGTATTCTTGGTTTCTATTTACCGGAAGCTAAATCAGGTCTATCTGGATTTAATTACTTCTATACTAAGTATAAGTTACCAGATTATTATAACTTATAGTAACCTATATTCTAAGAACATATTAGTATTATATACTGCTTTAAATAGTATTAAGATTACTGGACTAGTAGACTGGGAGTTTAGTAGGGTATATCCAGAGTACTGGGAATATATAAAAGCCCTTACTAGAGTAAGTTAGAGTTTAAGTAATTGGTATTTATATTTACTAATAGATACTATTAGAAACTATAGTAATATATAGTACTAGGAATATTTAATAGATTAATTAGTATATTAATAGAGGAGAAATATACTCTTTTATAGGAAACTAGATCTGCTTTTTCTATTTAAGTATTATTCTCATTTTTAATTTAATAGCTATCTATAAATATCTGTAACGAGAAATAATATTTCCTTTTATCTTTTTCGAAAAGGCTTCCTACTATCTGAAATAAAGTAAGAATATCGAGTTTTTAGCTATTAAATCTCTTTAGAAGATGCCTTTTTACTTTCTTAAAATTCTTATTATCTATAATTTGTTCCTTATTTAAACTTTCGAGAGCCTCTATTATATAGTCTTAATAGTACTATCCCTAAATATCGTTTTATACTGGGGTTTCGGTAATAATCTTATATAGTTCTGCTATATTGGCTGGCTGGATTTCGGCTATATAGATCGATTCGAGATATAAGCCGGAACTATTTGGTATAATACCAGATTTGGCTTCTATAGTAAAGTATATTACTTTGCCGGTAACTTCGTATATATAGTTATTGGTATTAAGGTAAAGTATCTAGTGGTATAGATTCCCCTATCTCGGCCGGTATAATACTATTGAAAGGTTTCCCTTCTTTTTCTTCTTTTTCTCTACTTCTTTTCCCTTATTCCCTTTCGGTTTCGAAGTCGATAAAGTTACTGGGTCTTGCCACTTATACTTATATTCGCCCTTGACTAAACGATATCTGCTCCACTTTTTGTTATCCTCCTTCCACTCCCATTTACTCTAGGCCGATATGGTACTCTCTTCTGGTTTCAAAATCGGTAAAGTTAAAGGTTCTGGGTCTTGCTACTTATACTTATACTCTCCCTTGGCTAAACGATATCTGCTCTACTTTTTGTTATCCTCCTTCCACTTCTATTTACTCCAGGCTGATATAGTGCTCTTTTCCTGTTTCGAAATCGATGAAGTTGAAGGTTCTGGGTCTTGCCACTTATACTTATACTTGCCCTTCTTGGAATAATATCTCTCCCACTTATTTTTGTCCTCATGCTATACCTATTCATTCCATGCCGATGTCTGCTTGGTAGATATTCCAGCTCCGCTTGGTATATTCCGGAAAGGATTAGAAAGGTGACTGTTTGGGGACTAGCTGTTGCTTGGAGAATAGTTGTAAGAACTACTACTGAGGAGAAGGAATAAACGTTTGTATTTAAATATCTGAGGGACTTAACATTTCTGAACTCGTTTATGTTCGCCGAGCAAAAGTTCTGGCTCGGCCCTTCCCCCAACTTGCATATATACCAAATGCTAAGGGCGCTTGTCTAATTCCATAATTGATCCTCCCAGCAGCTTCCAGTCCTTGCCAATTAGATAGGGGTGCAGAGCTGTGGAAGGGGACAGCACATCCATTAGGGTCGCGAGGGTATACTTCTATTGAAGGCGATACATGGCATGTTGTTCTGCTATACAGCCAAAACTGCCTGCATCTATAATAACTGGACAGTAGCTCAACGAACTCAGTGCTTGATTGGTTTGCAAGGTGTGCAGCTGCGCAGCTGCGCCTTTGAGGGACCATGAGTCCATGGTCCCTGCGATTCAAGGGATCATAAAACGCCAGAACAGTGGCCTGGGCCACCCGTTCGGCCCGCAAGCACCTGCTCATGGAGCGGCTCCGTACATGCGGGGCCATCTCCAGTGGGGTTTCCACACCCCTGTACTTTATCCAGTAGATTTCTGACTCGTCGTTTCGTACAGGCTTTGACGAATTGCGGTATTCAACTAAGAATGAAATATTTAAAATCTATTGCCGATTGCCATAACCATACACTTTATCTGGAAGGCAGTATCAATAACTTACGTCACTTAGAAATAGCTGTAGCAGGAGTAGGTTTCGATGGCGGTAAAGTCTCGTAGTTGTCCGAGAATTAAATAGCTGCTATACGAGAGGCAACGAAAGATGATATATTACATTTACCGGAGGAAAATGAGCGGAGGGATCATTTTCGTGGCTTTATTGAATTAAATTACTTTAAAATATATGGATTGCTGTAATGGAAGTACCTCGATCCAGAGACATCCTATAGACTCTCTTCTGAGGGGACTTCTATTAATCCCGGCAAGTAGAGGTGCTTCCGCTTCCGATTAGGCAATGTCTCTTAAAGGACTTCTATCTGCTTTAAAATCTCTGAATATTCGAAGTCAACTAATACTATATTTCTAATCTCGGGATTCTATAGTATATTCGGTGGCCGTATATTATAATACTCTACTCCGTAATCCAATATCTTTATAACTGCCCTACTCGTTTCTATAGTCAAATCCCGTCCCATAGTTAATATTAAATCTCTATATACCTACTTACTAGCCTATAATATAAGTAGTATATAAACTATCCTAACCCTAATATTATAGAAGTAAGGACGGATAAGAGAGATATTTCCAAGATAGACTAGTATAAGCTCTTCTTGAACTCTATTCAAGTATTAGTAGACTAACCCTTTATATTTCAACCTGGCTTCAAATACCGTTATAGTTCCTTTAGTAACAAAAGTATATCTATACTACTCTAGACTTAACCTGAATAGAATACTATGAGTATCTTGCTTTTCAAGTAGCTTATATTTATTATTAGAGTCTTTAGCAAGTTAGTATAATATAAGTTTAATAAGAGACTTCCTTCCTAAGGTATATTTATTACTAGTCTTATAAATATAATATTTATTAATATTTGGATAAGCTTTATCTAAGGGATTTTTTCGTATAAGCCCTAATAAATAGGCTTATATATAGTATTTTCGATAGCAGGTATTAATTTCTTTGGCTACTTGTAATAGTTTAATAATATATATTTATCTAGTACTAGACTAGTATATATAAGTCCTTGATTTATTTAATATCTTAATATCTAAAGCCTTTTCTAATAAGCCAGACATATTTTATAGGTCTTTATATATAATAATATCTATAGAGCTATAGCTAGTTCTTGTTTTTTATAACTTTCTAGATCTTAATATAATCGGTAATTACTTAAAAGAGTGAATTTATATATAAAATACTAAAAATAGAGGAGTTAAGGCCTTTTCTTTAATAGGTATCTATTATAAGATTACTTTGAGATTAACTATAGCCCTATAGGCAGTTTCTAGTATATGATTTTACTATTTTTGGCTATAAGGCTTTAAGTCTAGTATTATTAAGTAAAAGGTTAAAGTCTGGCTTACTATAGTATAATATAGTAAGATATTAACTTTACTCTATACTTTGGCTTTAATATTCGGTTCTATAAGGTAATAGTAAAGTATATATAGCTTATTTTCTTTTAGTTAAAGGAAAATATTAGCTTCTTCTATAACTAATTTACTATATTTAAGGCTATTCTTAATTATATATATATATATTTATATTAAAGCTACTATTATTAGCTATTTAGAAAAATATACAAATTTGTTCTCTGGATTAGTTAATATAGTAATCCGATTAATAATATCCTCCGGGATATTTATAGACCTTTTATTAGTTTATAAAAGTCTAGTCTATAGATTAAAAACTAATAGCTTATAAGATAGTTTATATTTTATAACTATATATAGGCTTTATATACTATCTGCCTCCTTATATATATAAATCTAATTAGTATTTTACGGCTTTAGATTCGAGCCTAAGTTATATTTTTTACTTAAGATATAGAGATCTTATAGATTTTACTAGACCTTTTTATTACTATTACTAAGGATATTAGTATAGTTCTCGAAAATAATACCTTTGCCCAGATTAAATATATAATAAGCCTTATCTATTTATTAAAAATAAGAGATAATATGAATTATTAATTACTTAATAGCTAGGTACTAATATATTTCCAAATCCTTTTTATTTACTAATAGTTAGTTATAGATATCCTGCCCAAGCTTTATAAAGTATTAGATAAAGCTAAAAAGTTCTATATTTTATAGGATATATTAGTAAATTCTTTTAAAGAGCTACTATTATAGTACTAGAAAATTTATTTAAGATTTTAATAAAATCGGGTAAGGCTTATTCTTGGGACTAGTAATAGAATCCTATATATTAAAACTCTTATTTATTTAGATAAAAAGTGGTTTTAAAAGAAGTATATAGTAGATATATATATATTCTTTAAATAATATAGGTTTTATCTTTTATTACTTATTCTTTATATATCTTTTTTCCCGTTTTATATATTTATTAGTTTCTTTTATTTGCTTATATGTTTTTTAAAGTAGTTATTTAAGATATTTAAAGTCTAATTTCCTCTTTAAGAATATTCTAGTAGGAATAAGTTATTATTATTATATATTATTATTATACTTGAATAATAACCTTAAAGGCTATTAATTCGGTAAGGCGGATTATTATTAAGATAATAGCTTATATCGAGATAATAGAATACTAAGTTATATATATATTTATTATATTTATACTTAGTATATTAAAGCCCAAATATATTAGGGGCTAATTAGTTAGTATTAAATTATTAGGGTAACTCATATAGTACCTTAAGCCCTATTACTTATAAAAGTTCTTATTCTAAATAACCTTAATTTTTCAAATTATAAATAAGAGAAATTAGACTTCTATTTAAGGTTATTTCTTAAGTAATAATAATAATAACTCAGTTATTTTTTCTAATTAGTTCTATTTAGCTTTACTAATAAACTTTATTTTATTTATATTAAAGAATAGCCTAATATACCCTATTTTCCGTTATATTACCTTATAATTTATTTTACTAAAATTCATTTCTTTTTTTACTATTATATTATTATCTTATTTTTTTCTTTTATTATATTTAGTATATTCTATTAAAGATATAAAAGAAGTATTTATAATAGCAGGAATAAAGTAATAGAATAATACTTAAAGATTAATGATTTCTAATATCTTATAGAATCTAAAGCTAAGGAGAAAAAGAGTAAAATATAATAATAGATAAATAAATATA